GTTCTGGCATGCGTCAGTACCAATTTACCATCGAGACAAATGAACGAACTGTAGAGGGTCATAATACTACTTGAAAATGCTTACAAAAAACACTGAGATTAGAATTACATCTTGCCACTATGGCCCGTTGCCCTCAAAATAATACCCAAATTCATGCATTTTATTCGACCTCTATAACATCTGTGAAAACTCTCCTGTTTATTTTTTTATGCATGTTGGTTTCTGACAGCGCTAAATTATGCAGTTATTCAACTTCTGACTGATCATTTTTGTATGGTACAGCTCGTAGCTGTGCACTAAATTTATGTGAAACCATACGATTTTGTAAAATTTTCGCCTTAAAGAATGATATATGCGAAGATACCCTTGCATCCATACATCTTTCAACAATAATACTGAGAAGTCTCGGGCCAGATATGGGATTTTCGGCGGCATCTTCGTCACCAGGATATATCTGTAAATTAAAAAAAAAAACAATGACTTTATAGGATAAGTCACTGTAAAAATTTTTCTGGCAAACTCTATTTAAGGAAAAACGGCACCAGCTGTCACACAAAATATTAGTTAAGCCCCTACATTTCCAAATTCCATCTGCCCACAGGGCCCAAACGGCCCGTGGGGTCTTTTCCTTAAGTTTGAACTCCTCCGTATATAAGCCAGATTCGTTTTTTCGCTTTCATAGTAAAATATAATTAAAAGTTCTAGCATTTTATGAAGTGTGCAAGTCAATTATTGTAAAATTTCGGGCATTATTTGTTCGGCTTTCATCTCAAGCACCACTTCTTGGAGAGGATGATCGACAGACTTACATCCGGTTGTTACTGGAGACAATGTACTGCCAGCAATCAGTAGACCTTTAAGTGGCACTGGCGCCACAGAAAGTGAAATACAGGAAAATTTCGTCTTTTATGTGGTACCCTGGCTTGAAACCTAAAGAAATTTGTGAAAACTACTACTTTATAGTGGCAGATTATTTTCTTAAGATAACGAATACGAAAAAATTCGTGCCCGAGACTTACCGGATTTTTCGATATTTCCGATAACTTATTTCGGAACCTGGCATCGTTCAGGAGAACAGCAACTTGTGTTAACGCTCGTGCCCTTATCAACGGTGATTTGTCGATGCAGCACCGCAGCAAGAAAGTGAGGATACCATTTTGAAGGCCAATTCTCCTCACTTCATCATCCCTATAATACAAATGGAAGATGAAAAAAAAAAGAAGGGAAAAATTAAAGCACCGAAAACTGCATTTTTTTTTTTTTGAAATCTTTTGTTAAAAAAGTCTTCATCGGAGAAATTGATTTACATGCCCCTCTTCTTTGTAAAATCCCCTGCCCTTCCAACTAAAGCCCAAGCGCTAAAAAGTAAATTGATCACAAAGATCCTAGGAAGTAAGAAGCACACCGTACTGTAGTGAGAAAAATTTGACGAAGCTAAATCATTGATGAACAAACCTCGGTGTTTTCTTTTGTCGCGCCTTCTTTCGAGTGCGTTTTCTGGTTTCATTATCCGCTAAAACTTCTTCATTAAAAACCATAAAAGTGAAATTCCCATACAATATATATTATTTTGTAGAGAACCAAAAGTACGTAGCTGAAAGATGAGGATGTAGTGAACGAAGTCCTTTCTCCAAAAACTTCCCCGCATCGGGAGGGAATCGAACCATTCCCCTTCACGTCTGGGCGCAATATATTACCACTACACCACCGGTCCTTGTTCGTCAGATTCAGCCTGGCAGCATATCTACTGTGCATCTGCCTTTCAATGCAAGGTATTCTTTCCCTTCTCTTTTTTTTTGTGGTGGATTCTTGGCCGGCTTTTTGCGGGTTTTTCGTGACGCATGACGAGCGGGTGCAAACAAGGCGAAAAGGTGGATGATGAGTGAAAGAAATCAATCACTGTGCGCTGGACGAATACTGGGAAAGTCAAGACAAAAGGATCGGTGTACTTGTAGCTCAAAAGGGAGTTTTTTGACTAAAAAATTTAAACCGGAGACTGAAAGCAGCCCAGCTGTATCAATGAGAAAGGGAAATTAGCGAAGGATTGCCAAAAACGTAAGGCGACAGAACAAGCCCGTTGGTATTACATAAATTTTACGCCCGATTAAAAAAGCTTGGAAAGGAAATTCCCAAGCTTCCTCTTCGACTTTAATTACTACTTTAATTATTTCTTTCCGATTTTAATTACTACAGTTTCAATCAATTTACTGAACAAACATCAGGTAATCTCGAGACAAATTGATAGCATAATTTCGCCAATACAAAAACCAGTCTTTCCAAAATTCACTGAGTCATTTCGAAGGCAAACTGTTACTGAACCCAGAGAATTATGACTACTACAACCAGTTTGCTTTTAAGTAAATCTCAAAAGATGAAACTATCCACAACACTGATAACGGGTGGTTCCCTTTGGAACGCGATGTCATTCAGCCTATTTTCGAATAAGCCTATCCCCCAACAAAAAATGAATAAAATGATGAGAAATTTTGAATTTTTTGCATAAAAACTGTTTAATATTACCTTCCAGATCAGCCTCATTCGCATTTCGCGATGCTCCGTTAGCTGCATGATCATACTGAAATAAAATCCAGTAAAAATGACGAATTTCTACGGGATTTGAAGACAAATTATGATCAAATTTTGCCGATAACAAATTTTTGAGGAAAGTTATTTGTAAAAATTAACCTCATCAACTTCCATTTGCTCTTCACATTCACTGGCCTGTTCTTGTTTGATTGCTGTCGCTAAAGCTGCTTCATCATTGCTGTCCAGTATTTCTCCTGAAAAATTATGCTCATTTTTGAAATATGCATGAACTAAATATTTTAATTAAAAATTTTTTTTTCGCTTTTCACTCATTTACAAAAAAAATTTCGGAAAAGAGGACCGTTAACGGCCTTTACTATAAGATTACCGTTAAAAAAATACTGTCAAGTGTTGATACATTCTCAAAAGTCTCTACTTTCTGTAGATCGGGAAAAATGAAACAGGAGCGACATTTGATTTAACAGAAAATAGAAAGGTATTTTGAAGTAGGAAGAAGAATAAAAGCGAAAATAATATTAAGAAATTAGTAGAAGTTAAAACTATTATAAGCTAAAATTAGTAGAAGATAAAATATTTTGTTAAAACTATTATAAGCTCCAATTTATTTTATTAAAATTATTATAAATTCATTAAATGATACGTTACCATGGTGCTGTATGATGGATGGTGCGATTTCGATTGCAAATCCACGTACTGCAACTTTTCGATCAGCACCAAGCATGCACAAAAATACTGCGAATTCCTGGGAAAAAAGGTACGCTTGAAACAATCAATTTCCTCAAATTTCGCATCATATTCAGAATAAATCATTGAATAATAATTGGCCAACGCACGGGCTGCCCTTGCGAAGACGCGTTTTTTGCATAGCTCCCCACAGATTTTTGTCGCTAACGGCACTGGTTTTTCTGGCAGATGCTT